ATTGCAATTCTGAGAACCATTTACAAAATATGTGGAATGGATATCTATTTTGTATGCGACTGCGAAGGATGGTGTTTTTGCAAAGTTTGAATGACGATAAGGTTTGGATATGGTGTATATTTGAGGAGAAATTGTGGGATAGGTAGGTGATATGGTGCATGATGGGATCGAGGTTGAATTCATTATGTAATTCATGATTATATATGAACCAGGGTGCATTAGTGATCGTACGGAGGAATTGGTTCTGTACTATTTGAATTTTGTTGATGTTTGCTTTCGCAGCATTTATCCATACCAGGCAGGCGTAGAGAAGAGTAGGTCTGATTATTGTTTCGAATAAAGTTTTTGCTGTGTTGTATGGGAAGCACCGCCAACGCTGCCGGCGCTTGGCGCCAACATAAGGCCGGTCCGCCGCCACGCCCCACCGCCGTTGATCCGGCGGCCTTTTCGTTGATAACCGCGAACTCATCGCGGGGCAGCGAGACGCCACGGCGCGTCGGCGCAGTTTCCACACGCTCGTGAGTGCGAGGGACCGCGGCGCCCCGCGTGCCCCAGGACCCGCGAGATACGTTGCGTCGCGACTCGCAATTAGCGATAAGTCCGCGACGGGTTGCGGAAAATCTGCGAACTGTTCTGCGCACAACTTGCTCGTGACTGGACGTCGGATATTTTGTCCTTAGAGTCTCTTATTTCATACCACAAAAGTTGGTATCAAAAACGGCGGAAATATTAAACGTACTATCATAATCATCACGGTTTGATGAAGTTTAAGAATACAATTATGAAGTACCAATCTGAATAGTTGAGGTAAAGTGGGACTCTTATTACGTACTCCGCTCGGTGGGTCGTGGGTTCGAATCCCGCATCAGGCATGAGTGTTTGTGGGAGTATTTTCGTGTTCATAACCGTATTGCAAAGTTGTGTCGCGACGTAAAATGGTTCTCTGTTACGTAGAAAGTGTATGAAGGCCTGATAATTAATTTTGGGTCAGGTACCATTTTCACATGCTTTAGAGTGGCATTCAAAGCGCCTTAGCGCTTAGACTAATGGGCGATTAGCACCCAAGAGGAGGAGTGACAGAGTTTCTCTTTAGGGCTTGTCGATTGATTGCAATCGTTTTCATGTAGCTTCAATCGGTGCGTAGGTTAAAAATCGGTTCAAACAAACTTCCTCTTGGATATCAACTCAAAATTTGTAGATTTTCCTTCAAACATCAAAGCAAATATTTTATTTGATAATTATCCAGGCAAACAAAATATATAAGTAGAACATTTCTCTCTTTCCTCTCTTGAGAAACCGCCACTGATTAAAATAATAATCCTAAAATACAGTATAATATTGTTACTTTATAAGCCGTAAGTTTTTTAGATAAGTGCTACATTGTCATTTCTCTTCCAAACAAAGCCATCAGTCGCGTTTATTAACAGTTAAGTGCATCATTTCGATTGAACCTTTGGTATGATTGTGACTCTGCATATCAAAACAAGATCAGTCCCGTTGCAACTGGTAATTAGCGACAGCTCTGGGATGAGTTGGAGAAATTTTCGCATTGCATAACAGACTGACGGCATGCAGACGCAAAGTTGATCTGGGTTAGGGTTGAAATGTTTGCTTTAACGAGTAAGTTTCTACAACTCATGCCAGCTCTTCGTCTGGAACGTTTTTAAAATGACAGGCAAATTACATTGCTGAATTTTTAGGGTAATATTAACTTATGTTATCTTGTAGATTAGTAATGTATTCTGACATTTTTTAAATAGGCACTCCAATATTTTTTTTCAAATAATTCATTAACATTGTCATTTCTATTCTAATTGGGTTTTTTCAAAATATTATTAATAATAATAAATCAACCTTGCCAGTAACATTATTTATTAGTAATATTAA